CACACTCAGGCACACCCTCTCACACACTCAGGCACACCCTCTCACACTCAGACACTCTTACACACTCAGACACAGTGACTCAGTGACACACTCATGCACACAGACACACACTCGGGGATGCAGACACATTTAGAGACGCACACAGACACAAACACAGACACTCAGTCACACTTACACTCATATATATGGAAAGACACACCCACAGGGAAGAGAGACATACACACGGAGGCACACTCCCACACACACACCAGCGGGGGTAGGGGGGGAGAGACTGAGAGACTCACACATACACACCGGGGGGAGAGAGAATCACATACATACACACACGCAGTGAGAAACACACACACACACACACACACACAGATTTGCGCACAGACTCAGAGAGAGAGACACACACACACACACACACACCTGGAGATAAAATCTCTCCCCGTGTGTCTGTCTGTCTGTCTCTCTCTCGTTACGCGCGTGCGCGCGCGCGCACACACACACACACACACACACACACACACACACACACACACTTGGGCAGAGAGACTCGCGCAGAGAAGCGTAGAGAGACTTGCACAGAGAGCGAGAGAGCGAGACTCGAGCACAGTGGGACGCGCAGAGGGAGACTCAGCGAGAGACTCGCTCACAGAGACCGAGAGAGACAGACTCACTCACAGAGACTCACAGAGAGACACAGAATCGCTCACAGTCACTCAGACACAGAGAAAGTCACTCAGACACACACAGTCGCTCACAGACATACACAGACTCAGATTCACGGAGAGAGAGGGAGAGAGACTCGTTCACAGACACCCACACAGACTCACAGAAGAGAGAGAGAGACTCACACAGAAGAGAGAGACCCACACAGAGATGGAAAGAGACTCACAGACACAGAGACTCCCAGAGAGAGAGAGAGAGAGAGAGAGAGAGAGAGAGAGAGAGACAGACAGACTCAGAGACTCACAGACACACAGAGAGACTCCCAGAGACAGAGAGACTCAGACTCGCTCACAGACACACATACACACACACAGCTACAGAGAGAGACTCAGACTCAGAGACTCGCTCACAGACACACACACACACACAGACTCACAGGGAGAGAGAGACTCACAGAGACTCAGAGACAGACTCTCACACACAAACACACTCACACAGAGAGACAGACTCACACAGAGAAAGAGACTCAGAGAGCAAGACTCAGACTCAGCGAGAGAGAGACAGAGACACTCATAGATTCACAGAGACTCAGAGACTCAGAGAGAGACTCAGAGATTCACAGAGAGAGATTCACACAGAGCAAAAGACACACACACACTCAAACACAGAGACTCAGAGAGAGACGCAGAGAGAGAGACTCGCTCACAGACACACACAGACTCACAGGGAGAGAGAGACCTGCTCACGGACACACACACAGACTCAGAGACTCACACACACAAACACACTCACACAGAGTCACAGAGAGAGAGAGAGACTCCCAGAGAGAAAGAGAGTCTCAGAGGGCAAGAGAGACTCAGGGACTCAGCGAGAGAGAGACTCAGAGAGACCGAGACTCACTCAGAGAGTGTTACAGAGAGAGACTCAGACTCAAAGAGATTCACAGAGAGACTCAGAGACTCAGACTCAAACACACACACACACACACACACACACACACACACACACACACAGACTCAAACACAGAGACTCACAGAGAGAGAGAGACTCAAAGAGAGAGAGAGCGCGAGACTCACAGAGAGCGAGACCCCCCGAGAGAGAGACTCACGGAGAGAGACACAGAGGGAGAGAGACTCACAGACACAGACTCGCTCACAGAGAGACTCGCTCACAGAGAGACTCGCTCACAGACACACCCCCCCGCTCACAGAGACAGAGACTCACAGAGACAGACTCAAAGACTCAGACACAGAGAGACTCACAAACACACAGACTCACAGACACAGAGGGAGACAGACTCACTCACAGACACACACACACACACACTCACAGAGAGAGACTCGCTCACGGACACACACACACAGACTCACAGAGAGACTCAGACACAGACTCCCAGACAGAGACACACAGAGAGAGAGAGAGACAGACAGACAGACTCATAGACACACACTGAGAGAGACTCACAGACACAGAGACTCAGAGACTCAGACACAGAGAGAGACACACACACAGACTCAGAGAGAGCCTCACAGACAGACACACACAGACTCACAGAGGGAGTCTCACACACACACACACACACACACACACACACAGCCTCACAGACACAGAGAGGCTCAGAGAGAGAGCCTCACACACACACGAGACTCACACATAGACACACACAGGCTCACAGAGACTCACAGACACACACGCACAGATGACTCACATGCAGAGAGAGACTCACAGAGACTCACACACACACAGAATCACAGAGGGAGAGAGAGAGAGAGGGGCTCACAAACACACAGACCCACTCAAACTCAGAGCCGTGCACGCACACACACAGAGACCCCCCCAGAGACAGAGAGACGGGCACAGAGAGACATGGAGAGAGATGGGCACAGAGAGACACAGACGGCCACAAAGATATGGACAGAGAGGGAGGGAGATGGACACACGGGGGGACAGACAGACATGCACATGGGGGGGGAAGAGATAGGTGGGAGAAGAGGGAGAGATGGAATGAGAGAGGGACAGGGAGACAGGGGTGACAGTGGGACAGGGAGAGGGAGAGGGAGGCACAGAGGGTGATAGACAAGGACAGAGATGGACAGGGGCATTGGGACAGGAATAGACGGAGTGAGAGAGCGCGAGGGACAGGGACAGACGGAGCACCTGAGACAGTGAGGGATAGGTATAGACAGCGAGGGACAGACAGCAGGACAGGGACAGGGACGACAGAGGGACAGAGAACTTAGATTCACCTTTTGACCAGACATTCTGCCTATTTAAGATAAAAGGTTGGGGCTAAATTGTCCCAAGAACCCTTTCAATGGTAAATTCATATTTCTATTCGTTTGGTCCAAACCTTTTCGCCAAAAATTCTGCCACCTCTTAATGACTCTGGAGCATTGGTTAGCTCACTGCCCATCTCTGTGACTCAGTGGCACTCTGGCGGGGTGGGGGCCATGGTGCTCACCTGGCGGATTCTGTTGCGAGAATCGGAGGCCGTTCTGCAAGCCCCACCCCCCGCCCCGCCCCGCCCCGCCCCCGAGCTGCGCCGGGCGCCGGGGGAGCGTGCGGTGACCGTTAGCCGCTGCTAATTAGATTTTCCACTTGCTTGCTCTGGATGTCTTCTTGCTCAGAGCTGCAACCACAAGTAAGCCTCCAATAAATTGTCCATTCATGGTTTTGAAAGATTCCCTGAGATAGTGTCCTCTAAAAATGCATTCTAATTCCAACGAACTCCTAAGTTACTGCTAAACTACGTAGGAATTAGAGAAAAGTGCGATTTTATTGATCTGGCATTATTTAGCATGGCGCTGAGGAATACATCCCTGGTAGAAGTTTGCTCAAAATCGTAGGTAAGTTTGAATTTCTCAAAAGAAGGAGATTTTCCTTCAAACTAGCTGCTTGTGGGGAAGAACCAAAAATGTGTGTGCTTAGAGAAACCGAAATGTTGCTAAGGAAGGTGCAAAATGTACCTTATCGTAAAGAGTTATATAGAAACATGTTAATCTAGATCTCTTAAGTCCTCATATGCTCAATTTCCTAGCTTTCTATATTATCCAGTTTTACATAGTTTTTATTTCCCTGTGAAAAGGAGTTACATTAGAAATCTTCCACCTGCTGAAAATCTAAAAAGTTCCTTTTTATATTATTGCATTTTTACTTTTTAAAAATTCAACAAACTGCTACTTTAACATGTACACAGCTTAGTTTGGTAGAAGTTACCAAACTTAAATTTACTTAACCCTGCTTGTACAATCCATACGTATTTAATGTATATGGTTTGATGAGTTTGATACAGGGGATATGTATACACCTGTGAAACCATCACCTTCGTCAAGGCCACAGACCTGTTCATCACCTCTGCAAATTTTCTCCCACCCTTATTGTTATTTATTTTGTGGTAAGAAAAGTGAGCATAAGATCTATTCTCGTAGCAAATTTTGAGCAAATTAAATTACATCTTAATTTTAATGGAGTGTTGTTAGCTACAGGCACTATGCTAACAGTAGGTTTCCAGAACTTTTGTGCATGCGACTTGAGTTCTTCGGTGAGGATCTAGGAGAAACTGCTGACTTCTGAGGCAGGAGTCCTGGGTTTGAGTTCCTTCTGGATGGGCGTCGCCTCTCGCTGTGACTACCGTCCTTGAATCTTTCTGGGCTTCGTGTCAAAAGAATGAATTTGTCCTTTTTGCTTTTCCTTCTGTCTGTCTCTTAAGACAAAACTCCCCGTGTGTCGTCTTCCCTTGCTGGGATGATATTCACAACTACTCTGTCCTATCCTTTCCAAATCCTGGCCCTGATCAGCCTGGGCCCTTCTGTCCTACTCTCTGAACATTCATGCATTTTCTCTGTGCATTACTATTTTTTTTTTTTTTTTTTACTGATGAGGCTTTTAGGCAGTAGGTAGTATATGAAATATTTCTTTTTCGATTATTGGGCATCTCTTAGTACCCACATCTTTTTGTATACAGCAAGAAGCAGCCAGTTTAATAAGACAAATGTCTTTGTGGCCTTTTTCTTTTTCTTGCTGCTGGAGCCCCAAACCCCAAACCTCCACTGTACTAAATTTAGTGTGTTGATTTCTACCCCCTCCCCCCACAAACTGCCTCTGTAACAGCTCTCAACTCGGTGACTGCCAATGACACCCTGTCTAGATTATAGTAATAGGCATCCTCTTTTAATATTTAGGTGAGTTTTCAAAAAATATTAGCTACCAGTTTTTATTCTCTCAACATTTCCGTGAGTCTCTTTGCCAAATGTGTTATTGTTGGGATCGGGGTGCAAGGGAGGGGGGAGAGCAGCTCTGCTCATTGCTGAAAACCCTGCAGCGTTCTTCAGCTCTTGCACACATCCTTACATGTGGTTTTGATTTTATGGTGTAAGAGGGTTCCTCGCTTCTTGATTCGTTTGTGGCATATTGCTGTAGCCATCACTGTAATTCATCTCCCGGGAAGGGATCGGAAAGTTCATGTCAGTAAAGGAGAGCCCAGGAAAAAGCAACTGAGAAACAGTTTTCTTTCCCCCAAGTGATTCTTCTGTCCCTGTAGGCTTGTAGGTGTGGGCAACTTTTCTTCCTGATCTCATAAAGTATATTGTGCTGCCCCCCCCCTTTTTTTAAATGCAGAGATTGTGGAGCTAGGAACAGATGATCCAGCCCAGCCAGGCGTCAGGTCCTGGTCACCATTGCCCAGTGGTGATAGCAGTTTTCCTGAGACGGTTTCATCTATTCCTGCTTGCACTTTATTTCTTTGTTCATTCCAAATGGAATTTTATGAATGCCACCTTGCCCCCTTTTGTTACTTTAAAATTTTTTTCCCAATTCTAATTTTGCTGAACTGGAAATAATCAGAAACATAAAAATCCTAAAATAAACAGTCACATACCCATAGCTGAGAATAAAAATTTAACGTTTTACTATATTTGTTTCATCAGTCTGTATGTTCATGCTCTTGTTACTCATTTTTTAACAGTTAAACTATAGCTACTTAGTATGAGCCTATGAAGGAAGGGACAAATTATTCAAAATTATGAATTTTATTCTATAAGCTCTTTTTAAAATTAAACAGTATTATAATGAACTGTACCTCAAGTTCAAAATCTTGTGAAAGCTAACATTTTAGCACTTGAATGCATGAGTGTAAAAAGCAATTTGTTTTCACTTGGAAGGCTTTTCTGGGCTGTGGAAATTCTATTTGAAAATGCAGTAGGTAGAAAACAAATATATCCTGGAAACACGTGGTTTGGAGGGTGCTGACAATTTCTCAATGTTGACTGAACATAGTGGAAAAAGTAGGTGGCCTAGTGTTTGTTGTTTGTTTTCCTGAGATTATGGAACTATGGACAAGATAGAACACTTTTTTTAAGTTTTGTAAATCCCAGCTTGGGGTAAAAAGAAAAAAAACGATGGAAAGAGCTGCTTGTGTTTTTTCTAAATGTCAAGGATTTAAAGGTAAAGTTTAAGCTAGTGGTACCTCTGGAAAAGGAGTCCTTTTGGAAAGCCAAGATGCCAGGTAGGTGAAAATGATTATTTGAAATGTTGGAACTTAGAAAATATATCTTTCCTGCATCTAATAGATTTTCTAAAATTTGTTTTTTTGTGACTTTGGTATTTCTAACTATCGAGTTCTCATGCAGCCTCGAGGGGATGTAAAGCTGGATATTGAAAGGGGGGCTCCGCTTCTCTTCCCAGCCCTAGAATTTGCTTCCTTGACGTCCCTCAGGACTTTTCTTATAAGCTGACTTTAGGCATATAAAGAGAGGCAGGGTGATGAAGGGATAGCATCGCAGGTCTAAGCTCTATGTCCTTGGCAAGTCACTCAACCTTTCTTGGCCTCAGTTTTCCTATCTGTTAGGTGGTTGTGAATAGTTCCTACCTCCTTAGGGTAATTGTAGGGGTTAGAGTGTGGTACCTCAAGAGTGTTTAACGTCATACCTAGCACATAATAACAAAAAAGTTCTAGCTGTCATCAATTTTCTACAGACTTATTTAGCAAATACACATAAGCATATCCCTTATATGTAGATCGTTTCTCTTTATAATAAAGGAAAATCTTTATGGCATCAATCCCTTGTTCCATGACTTTGGGTGAATATTGTAAATAGAGTGGGCTTCCCCTTAAATTGCATCAACTTTACCAAGTTATTCTCTGAGAGGAAGCACGCTGCCCAGCAGCCTTTCAGGAATTTTCCTGAGGGGTTTTGAGGAGCAAGTATGATGAAGTGTGCAAATTCTTCATCGTTCTCAGAAGATAGCACTTCTGCAGTAACACGTGAGGTCACAAATCGCCCCACATTCCCCTTAATATACTTGGCATGGCCTCTGCCATAAGCAGGATTAAAGATTGCAATTAAATATTTTTATTAAGATTGAAAGCTTTGAATAGGGTTTTCTGGTACATGGTTAACTTCCACATTTGTTCATAGTATTTTGTATCCTGGATAAGGCCCACAGGTTGTATTAAGTGATACTGAAGGGCAGGAAGGTGATAAAAATATTTCTAAGTGCCAGCCCTGCTCCCACAAGGTGACCATTGGCCAACGAATGGCTTCCTGCTTCCTGTGTCCTGCTAAACATTCGTGTCTCTTGGCTCTGGCTCATGCCCTTTTCCTCTTTTTTTCTCCTTACCTTTTTTGACTTTTTTTCCCCTCTCTAGACACTTGGAATCAATAGTATCCTTGTAAATGACCAGGATTTTTTTTAATGAAGACTGCTGACTAGGTAAAAACGTAGTGTTTTGTCTGCACACTCAAATGGTTTATTTCTAGAAAGCCTATAATGCAGTTTGCCCTTGACAGTTATATTGGGAAAGGGAACTCGTAGGATGAATGTTTAAATTCTTGCCCATTCCATGTATAATTTGGCAGAACTGCATCAATGCACTGGGTCAGGCTTGAATCATGGACTTGAAGCCCGAACCATTTCAGAACATGGGTGTGCCTGTGTGGTCAGTAGCGTAGTATTTTGCAACAATGCTTTTGTCTCAAGGGGCTAATTTTAACCCAAGGGAAAAGTTGACATGGCTGGATAGGATAGAAGATTGTTCCTTCTTTTGACTAATGGTTTAAAAAATGACCCATGACCATTCTCAGTGCCAGTCTGAGTTCTCTTTATTTATCCTCTGTACATCGTATCCTATTCACATCTTAATGGTTTTGTCTCCCACTGAATGGGCCATTTTCTTTCTTTCGAATATTTGAATAGTCTTAAAGAAGTACTTAAGTGTTTCATGATGTATGTGGAGTGAGAAAAATCTGTAATTGTTCTTGATTTGGACATTTCACAAGGCAATCAAACCCCAGATATTATAACCCAAGATAAATGATAACACATTTTATCTTTGCATTTGTGAAATCATTATACTGTTCTGCAAATGTACAAACGTTTTCTTTCGCATAAGGCCCCAGGCCGAAATTATGGCTGCTCATTAACAAATGGCTTCCATACTCCGGGAGATGTGTGCAAGCGAGTCTGCCCCCAGCAGTGGTTGCTGCTGGGTGCGCTGTCTGGAATAGGGGTCATTTAGCATTTAACTCTCCCTGTCTTGGCTGTTTGCCTCTTCAGGATAAGCGGTGTTTCACGTTTTATTGAATATTTACTGATGTGAACCTGAGATACAGGGATTCCCCAATTCAGTGAATAAAGATGGCAAGGTTAAGAGGGAGGTTTAAAATGTAGCTGTGTTTTATATTACACAGTTTAATTCCAACCATTTATATATGGGTGTGTGTGTGTGTGTGTGTATGTATATGTATATATATATGTGTATATATATGTATATAT